TTCTTCGGAGATGCAGAAACAAACGGTGTGAAGCCATTGCCAGTTCCAGGGCAACGGTATATATTAGTCATGTCTAGGTTTTTCATTTCCTCTTTTCACTCATTTGTTCGTCACACAATGCTCAAGTAATTATCTTAATGCAAGCTTACTCTGTTTCGGGCGAAAATGCATACTTTCTTTTGTGCTGAGCAAAAAACAAATATATAGACAGAGAAAACAAGTAATTATATTAATGATTTTGTGTTCTTTTGATACTATTATTTTCTGTGTCTGCCATCTTGGCCTGGCCTGCTGGTCGGACCATCTTCCTTGCTGGGGAGTTCTCCTCTGCTTCCATCCACCCATCAGTAATGCACGCGTCCAATGGTGATCCACTGTCATTGTGGCTGCAACCTGTACATCAGGAAGAAAGATATTCTTCAGGTTATATCAGCAATTGTCTTATGTATTGTAAATGACTGAACTGCAGAAATTTTCTTAGACATTTTTGCAGAAACCATTTGGATTTGGGGGCCGTTTAAAATGGGGAAAGGACAGTTGTTTGGAACGTTCTGGTCTGGTAATGCACCTTTTTTACATTTTCGTTTCCCTACTCTCTTTCGTGAATGTGGTGATCCAGACATTCAAATTCCTGAAGCTTATCGCAATGGGGAGTTGGTGATGACTGTTGGGATTATGTGTCCTGCAACTATATTCAAATACTTATTATCATTAATATTCGGAATACCTCATATGGAATTATACATGTGTTATTTTGCATGGAATTACTCTTGCTGGAATGTACTCCCTCCGTTCCTAAATATTTGTCTTTTAGAGATTTTAAATGGACTACGACATACGAATGTATATAGACATATTTTAGAGTGTAGATTCACTCATTTTGCTCCGTATGTAGTCACTTGTTGAAATATTTAGAAAGACAAATATTTAGGAAAGGAGGGAGTACATAAGTGTTGCATGCTTAAGGAAGCTGGTCGCTTGTCGGTGGAATACAATATGCTTTATAGATTGGAAAGATTACCCGGGTACGCTGATAATTGGAAGAAGCTAGATCGTATAATTAGTTTATGGCCCTAATGTTGATCTACATAATTAGAGGAATTTATACTTTATTATGACGCGTTGCTCACAAGCGTGTGCTTCGGGGACTCAACGGATATGATCCGCTAACAGACAAATTATATCGTGGTTGGTAGTTTGACCTGGATTCTATCCGGAAACTAGTTTAAATACTAGAAATCTTATAACTGTATAAGAGGCGGACTCTTTAGAAACACAATATAAGAAGGTCT